TATGTATTCACTTTAAATATTTTATATTTGGGTCCATTATTTTTACATTATTTGTAATCTGAACATGTTTTTCTCCTTCAAATTATAACAATGAGATACACATGCATATATATCTACTAAAATGAAATTGTATATGTATAGAAACATCAGTAAGAAGAATAAAGAATGGTAACACACAACCTGGACATTATAACTATGTGTTTAAAGAGTCCAGTTTACTTACTAAAACACATATTAAAAACATGGTGAGACATATGTACATTATAATATAAACCAATAACCAAATTTACATACCATAATAAACAAAAAAGGACATTCCTAAAATGCCATATTTTGAGGATGAGAAACATCTCATCAGTTCTCCCATTTTTCAAGTTGATTTATATACTCTGACACTGACATGTATCATTAAGAAGACTTGTATGTGTGGCTGTTTTTCTCAGCCTATAATACATGCAGCTAAATCAATATAATTTCTGCTTGGCAAGTATTGGTATTAAGACAATTCAATACCTGTTATAATTGTGCAATTATATGTTTGGTCTTAAACCAAACCAATGAAGTAGTTCTATCAAATCTTTATTCTTAAAGAAAACAATAGAGTTACATAGTTAAATGTTCCATTATTATAGGTATTCTGATAAAGTGTGCCTTGGCAGAAAGAAAATAACAACAGAGCTTTGAGTGATGCAGTTTTATTTTAATAATATGGGCATGTGTTATATTTCCCTATTTCTAATTACAGAGTATGATGATCAGATTTCAGCACGTTGCTGAATATCTAATTATTACTATCTATATTCACTATTTTAGCTACCCATTTGTGTCTCAGGATACTGATAGAAGCACATGTCTCATGTCACTGTAGAGTAGGGTAACTAGCCCAAATAATAACACAGACAAAGAGACATATCCATGTACTATTATATCTGACTTTATTATAGGTCTCTGGGGTCACATGTACGTAATAGCAGTGCCAGCAGGGGGACTGCCTGGAATGACAGGTAATCCCCCTGCTGCCTGTAATAAAGCGCAATAAAGGTTTAAAACAGTGTAAAATAAAATAATATATACTTAGATCATATACATAAGGGACCTGTGTAGCTGCAGGAGTTTATACTTATTTCTGGGGGGTTTTAGCACCCTTGAAGTAATTGAGGCGTTTTGAAGATTGTATTTTATTAGTCCACACTATAGATAAGTGGACTTTTTGCAGAATAAGGATCAGCATATATGTATAGAAATAGGCACTTTTCAACCTCCAGATAATTGCTACCTTTGATTACCATCATACTTACCTAAGCTGTGTCTAAAGTTACTTACCTTCTCCCTCCGTCTATCTCTCCAGATCTTCCAATATCATCTCACTTTGTATACATATCTTATTATTATTACCCCACTTTTCTACTCCAATAACCCTCTGTACTACCATTACAGCCAATTGACAATTTAGGTGATCTCTCCCTATTATAAATACTGTTTTTTTTTTTTGTTTTTTTTTATTAAACTCCCCTCTCCCTTTTCACTGATTGTCACAGATTATTTGGACATTGTAATTATGACATGATTCTAAAGGGATGTTTATTATACTAATATGGAATATATAGAGACACAATATATCATCTGTTGGCTTGATTTTTAGGATCACTATTTCTAATTAGAATATAGCTAAAACTGTCAGTTTTATGTTTATTTTTTGCAATGGATAAATAAAGCCTGTTATATCATTGAATAGACGGTTAAATGGTTATCTTTTGCTATATTGCAGCAATCTTCTCACACATTGTTTACTGTTGAAGACATTTCATTCAATCAATTACTTAGTTTTATGAAATATAAAATCAGGAATTCTCACATGAGGTTTCCCTGATTTATATTTTTACTAAAAGGGTTAAGCCCTGGGTGGAATTGGCATCACCCCCACTGACCAACCCCCATTCAGGATATTCTTGGTATAGGGGTGACTTGGTCTATTAATTTTGTTTTTTTTTATTTATTTATATATATATATATATATATATATATATATATATATATATATATATATATATATATATATATATATATATATATATATATATATATATATATACATATATACACTAGTGATGTCCCGAACGGTTTGCCGCGGACGGCGAACATAAACATAAACTTTGACCCTGTACCTCACAGTCAGCAGACACATTCCAGCCAATCAGCAGCAGACCCTCCCTCCCAGATCCTCCCACCTCCTGGACAGCATCCATTTTACATTCATTGTGAAGCTGCATTCTTAGTGAGCTGTCCAGGAGGTGGGAGGGTCTGGGAGGGAGGGTCTGCTGCTGATTGGCTGGAATGTGTCTGCTGACTGTGAGGTACAGGGTCAAAGTTTATGTTTATGTTCACCATTCGGCGAACCGTTTGGGACATCACTAATACATATCTCTCTATCTCTCTATCTCTCTATCTATGAAATATAAAAAATAATTTATATATATATATATGTGTGTAATTTCATTCTAACTGTATTTTGATATTAATATATGTTTTATTTTGAGCAAAACGTGTACATTTGGCTCAGTCCTTAAGGGGTTAATGGTAACTTTTTTGTTTTGCTTGAACATTGGGGCTATATGTGATAGTCCATGCAACCAGCAAGTATGATGATGTTTGAATGCCGGGTTAATGTTTTTTTATTTTATTTTATTGTTTGTTGAAGAGACAAAGCATGTGCAGAAACAGGGATATTAATCCAAGCAATTATGTCAATAAATTGTCTTTAGAACATGCAGTTGCTCAATTTAGAATTTTTGAGTAAGGCACAATACAGAAAACAAACTCGAAAATATTAAGTCAAAAAGTAATGTGTGTAAAGGTAAGGGAAGGAAGGGGAAAGCAAAACTAGAAGCTAGGAGCTCCTGCCTAAATGAAGGAATCACTTGGCAAGCTAAGGGTCCCACACTTTCTGTAATGAGGAGGTTGTACCCGGAACAACTGCAGTTAATTTATCCATTAAATAATTCTCCTATCTTATCTACAATATCTCATAGCAAATGAGCAGCATCTTTACGGTAGCCTGCAGCAAATGCCCTACAGGCAGTAAGTGTTATTTTATTAAAAGATTTTGAGTTACTCGTCAATCCCCCCATAGGGCAAGAAAGAAGGAATGCCCAGGGATCTAACTCAAAGGGTTGATGGTATGGCATTAGAAAAATAACAACATATTTATAGTAAACACTGCAATTTATCAGTTGTTTTGTATACAAAGGGATACAGTAAACCAAAAGGTTTATTAAAAAGTACTTTTGTGAGAATTGCTAAGGCTTTTGTAAATGCTTTTTAGTGGTATGTGGAAAATAATCATTGAAGATAGTTGGGTGAAACTAACTCAACTAACAGTATCCACAACAAATTCTACTATTAAAAAAAATAGCATGAGTTGGATAATCATTCTTCAACTATTTTCACCTCTTGAGAGAAAAATAGGAAAGTAACATTTTAATTTAAAAAAGAAATATGTAATTATGGATCAGCACAATAAACAAAACAGAAATATTTTGAATACCAATAGAACAGAGAATATCTACACACCTGTTCTTCATCTGCAAAAAGGGACACATAATACATACAGTAATAATTGCCAAACACATTAACAGTACTATCATTTCAATAATGAATATATCACAAATATATTTTTCACCTGAAACTCATAAACAGTTTGACAAATTCAAGTATGCAAAACACAATTCCATTCTAAACCCTTAGAGCCCTAAGGAAATTGTAAATATTATTTTAATTGGGGTAAAAATGATTTGAAGCAACAGTGCATTATCCAAAGGAATACTGGAACTATGTCTTAATTTGGAACACAAGATAGAGACCTGAAGAGTTAAGACATTTTACTGTAAAAATTAAACATAGCTTAGAGAAGAGGTATAACATAAAGTAGTTCCTAAAACAAAAACAACCCATGATCTGCATATTTCTTTTTTTTCTGTGTATGCGAAAAGACATAAGTATATGATTGCTAACCTATCTGCTGCTTTAGTCAACAATTTTATGGATGAGGTTAGGAAAGTAAGGATGCTGTTCATTTAGCATGCACATATCCCGAAACTCACCCATTCTTTATGAATTTTGCCTCATTTCTATCAATCTTGCTCTAAGCTCCTACTTGTATATACAGCAAATGTGAGGTTTCAGCTGGATCGTAAGACAACACATAAAAAATAAACCATGGTGTAGCAATGTAACAAAGTAATTCCCTGTTTTAATATGAAATACACTAACAAGTTAGCCGGATATATGCGCTTGACAGATGCCTCACCTCAAGTATAGCAGGAAGGGGTTTCAATACTGTATTTCCTTCACAGCGATTTCACAAACATCCTGATAATATGAAAAAGGATTTCAGACTGCACTCTATCCCGGTCCACTGTCCCACCTTCAAACTCAAAGACCTCATGTTTTATGGATTTGAAACAGTGGAGATAGAGAACCGAGACTAGCTCAGAAGGAATCCTATAGGATTCACAATTAGGCACTTTAACCACAAGGTCTAAATATTGATTTGGATTTGGTTTGTTTTCTTTCATATTAGCATTATATTTATGTTTAGGCACTTCATAATAATTTTACCACAAGACAGGAGGCTTCATGTTTGCATAACTCTCTTTACTGAAAATCTCCAGCAGCACAGAAACAAAAACAACCAGTCAGAAAAAAGTTAGTTGATACATAAAAGGCCTTGATACCTCCCCCCTCCCACTCTTTCTTTGCTGCTCCAGCCTTGACATAGGTCAGAGTATTTTGTTTCTCCCTAGTGTTTATTAGTTTATTATTAATGGAATTTTCTACTGGTGTTATGTATTTATCCTATACTCATTTCAAGGAATGTGCATGGGAAAAATATTCGTTTCAGTTCGGCATTCCGAAATTTGGGACTTCGGAACGTTGTCACTTCGGAACTACAGCACTTCGACACCTCGGAAATTTGGCACTTTGGGTAAGTTTAAGGGTAGGGTTAGGTTAGGGTTAGGGATAGGGATAGGTTAGAGTTAGGGGTAGGGGTAGGGTTAAGGTTACCTTACCCTTACACTAACCCTACCCCAACCCTTAACCCTTACCGTACCCCAACCACTAACCCTACCCCAACCCTTAACCCTAACCCTACCCGTAACACTAAACCTAACCCTAACCTTACCCCTACCTATGCCCCAACCACTAACCCTACCCTAACCCTACCCCAACCCCTAACCCAACCCCAACCCTCTCCTGTTTTGCCACTTTTCAGAAATCTGAAGCACTTCCGAAATTTGGCCCTTCAGCAATTTGGTTCGGCATTCTGAAAGTCGGCACTTCAGAAATTCTGCAATTCGCCACTTCGGCAATTCGGTTCGGCATTCTGAAATTATGACATTTTGCACTTTGGCACTTCGGACATTCGGAAGCATCCGAATGTCTGAATTTCCAAAATTTGTCAGAATTTGCATTCGGAACGAAACGAATTGCACATGTCTATTTCTGTTCCCTGGCTTTACAATAACCTGTCCCTATTGTTACCCTATATATTTATATCTGTTTATACAGTTGCAAGAAAAAGTATGTGAACCATTTGGAATGATATGGATTTCTGCCCAAATTGGTCATAAAATGTGATCTGATCATCATCATCATCTAAGTCACAACAATAGACAATCACAGTCTGCTGAAACTAATAACACACAAAGAATGAAATGTTGCCAGGTCTTCCGTGCCCCACCTGGACGAGGTGTTTTTGGGAGGGCTGGTCAGCAGTGGAGCCGAGCCACCAGCCACTTCTGGTCGACAGGCTCCAGAACATACCCAGAGTCATGCAACTTCTTTCCATCCACTACTCAAAGGTCCTCATTCTACAGAGGCGCGGATAGGGCCAGAGGCTCCAGAGGACGTGGACGTGGTCGCTTCACTATGGGAGAGTTCCCATACCAGCCTAGCTGTTCCCAACTTTACGATGGCAACCTATCTCTTTTCTTGCAGAACTGGAGAGCGATCACCAAGGATGCCTGGGTACTCCAGAAGGTTCTGGGTTACACCATAGAGTTCTACTACCAGCCCATTCAGGCCTCCAATACACTTGACTGCGGATCACAAATTCCTAGTGAACGAAGTCCACACCCTCTTCGAGAAAGGCGCAGTCCAATACGTGCCCGAGGATGGCAGCTTCTTCAGCAATATCTTCCTGGTCAAGAAGAATATGGGAGATTACCAGCCGGTGATCAACCTGCGACACCTAAACTATTACGTAGTGTACAGACATTTCAAGATGGAGGGGATACATCTTCTGCAAGACCTCCTCATCGAGAACGACTGGTTCACCTGTCTGGACCTCAAAGACACGTAGGTCCTCGTCACCTTAGAATGTCAATGCTTTCTTCGCTTCATGTGGAGAGGACAAGCATGCCAGTTCACGTGTCTGCCGTTCGGCCTCAGCTCAGCTCCGTGGTGCTTCACAAAGGGCTTTGAAACAAGGGCATACGATATCTCGTTTACCTGGACCATTTGCTGATCTTCTGCGAATCCGCATACAGGTTACAATTGCAGACAAAATTTGTCATCTGGAATCTCTGAGTTTCGTGGTGAACAGACAGAAGTCGTCTCTCTCTCCCTCCCAGCTGGCCCAATTCCTTGGCTTCAAGATCGACTCGAGGAACTGCGTATTACGCCTTCCTACGGCAAAGATAGTATCCATAAGGAAAGAAATCAGACGGGTCCTGTGGATGGATACTATCCCCCTCAGGATGCTCGCTCGGATCGTGGGACTTCTGTCCTCCTCCATTCAGATGATATTTCCGGGACCCTTACACTACAGGGCCATGCAACACCTACGCTACGGACACTCCTACGATCACTGGATTCCACTCTCAGCGGACGTTCGGAAGGAACTCCGCTGGTGGCTCCTTCACATGCAAGCCTGGAATGGCAAAGCGATCTTTGGCTCATCCCCTGACTTCATCATGGAATTGGACGCCAGCCTCTGGGGCTGGGGCACCCACTGTGCGAACTCCTCCACAGGGGGTTCTTGGCAAGGTGAAGAGACCGAACTCCACATTAACTACCTGGAGTTGATTGTGGGGTCTTTCACCATACGCAGCTTAGCTACAGAGATGTTAAACTGCTGCATCCGCATGAACAATGTCTCGGCGGTGCAATACATCAACTGCCTAGGAGGGACCAGATCCTAGGCTCTCATGGAGGCCACAAAGGATATGTACAGATTCTGCCTCTCTCACAATATTACACTTCGAGCAGAATACCAGCCGGGTATTACCAACCTGACGGAAGACTGGTTCACACAGCACTGGCGGGACAACAGCGATTTGAAGCTCAATGTCTCAATCTTCCAGGAATTTAATCATCTGAAGAAACCATTACACCTGGACCTTTTTGCTTCACCAACTTCCGAAATACTACAGCTAGCTCTCAGATCCAAATTGCAAAGCAGTGGACACATTCCTGCAATCATGGCCGAAATGAGGAGCATATGCATTTCCTCCGTTCATGATAGCGAGGTTGCTCCATCACACACCGTCACACAGGGTATCTCTCTTTCTCATAGCTCCACTTTTGCAGAGCCAAGCATGGTTTCCGGACCTATTGGAGATGTCTCACAGCTCTCCGCTTTTCCTACTGGCATTCCCTCTACTGTTGATGGGACCATTGGGGGAACCTCACCCCCTCGTTCTAGACCGGAAACTAGACCTAGTGGCCTGGACGATTTCAGGGGATCCTGGTCAGTCCATGGCCTATCCCAATTGGCTAAAGACCTTTTATGGGATTCATGGGCTCCCGGCACTAGAAAATTCTATATTTCTGCATAGTCGCCTGGAGTAATTGGTGTCTGGAGAGGGACGCCAATCCCTTTACTGCACCTATCCTGTTGATCCTCAACTACCTCTCAAATCTTGTCTCAATAGGCCGGTCATACCAATCTCTCAATGTGGTTAGATCGGCTATTTCAGCGGCTTACGTCCCCGTACAAGTCATTCCGGTGGGTCAGAACCCATTGATTTACCGGTTATAACGGGGTGCCAAATTGTTGAGACCCCCAGCACTGAAATATTAACGTCTGTGGGATGTGGAGGTTGTGTTACGCTTCCTTAGGGCTTGGCCGGATAATCTTACCTTTCTCTGAAACAACTGTGGGCCAAACTTACCATTTTGCTGTGTCTTGTTTCCTTTTGTCAAGTGGCAGTCGTCAGGGCATTTGATGTGGGTTTTTTTTCTTCACTCCAGAGGGGGTTTCCTTTATGGTCTCTCACACTGAGTCAGATTCCTCCTCGGTATTTTATCCTTGTTTTCAAGCGGACCCAAGATTGTGTGTGGTTAGGGCGCTGGTGCACTATACCGAAATCACCGCTCCCCTCTGAACCTCGTCGGCAGGTCAGCTTTTGATTTCATATGTCAAGCCTCGTGGACTGGTGTCAACTACAACAATGGCCAGATGGGTCCGCTGGCTTTTATTGTTAGCCGGCGTTTAACCCTGCTTTGGAGCCCACTCAGTTTGGGGTGCGGCCGCATCACATGCTTTCTTGGCAGGAGCCTCTATTGCGACATTATGCGTTGTGCGGATTGGACACATGAGAATACATTCAGAATGTTTTATTTTCGTCAGACATCTCATGCCTCCTTTGCTCTGCTTAATACATAGCATTAAAAATGCAAAAATTAAGCCTCCTGTCATGTGGTAAAATTGTAGATTATGCTAACGTAGTGTACCTATAACCTTAATATTAGTAATGACAGGAGGCGAATATTTTCCTCCCTACATTTTCCCGCCCGAATGGTAGGTATTGCATTGTTACATTCGGTTTGGACATTATGATTGTATGTGTTTGGTTGTTATTTGTTATTTAGGTCTACTTACCACTTAATTAGAATTGTTAATCCTTCATGACATGGCATAACTGGTTTTACATTACTTTAAGGTTCATAATATGCGGACAAATTGTCAATTCAGCTGCCTTTCACTTGTTTCTTTTTCTTTCAGTGTGAATGGTTCTTCTTCAAAGGATGAATTCATCTTCCATCTTTTTCTTCAGGAAGTTCCTACCCATAGGATCATACTGTTTTATTGAACTTTATAGAAGGATCATACTGTTTTATTGAACTTTTTGACATACGTTTATCATTTGATTTTATCTGTTCTTACCTGTTTACTATTCGCTACAAAGAATGAGGAGGAGGTAGGGCTATCAAGGCTTTTTGTGTATCAACTAACTTTATTCTGATTGGTTGTTTTTGTTTTGTGCTGCTGGAGATTTTCAATAGAGTTATGCAAATATTCACCTCCTGTCATTACTAAAATTAAGATTATAGTTACACTACGTTAGCATAATCTACAATTATGGATTTATAAAGTTCATATAATCAATATATAAAAATGTATCTCACTACAAAGGATAGGTAAAAAAAGAAAAAACATTTTCACCCCTCACATTTTTGTAAATATTTTATTATATCTTTTCATGTGACAACACTGAAGAAATGACACTCTGCTACAATTTAAAGTAGTAAGTGTGCAGCCTGTATAACTGGGTAAATTTGCTGTCCCCTTTAATATAACTCAACACACATCCATTAATGTCTAAACTGTTGGCAACAAAAGTGAGTACACCCCTAAGTGTAAATGTCCACATTGGGCCCAAAGTGTCAATATTTTGTGTGGCCACCATAATTTTCCAGCACTACCTTAACCCTCATGGGCATGGAGTTCACCAGAGCTTCACAGGTTGCCACTGGAGTCCTCTTTCACTTCTCCATGATGAGATCATGGAGCTGGTGGATGTAAGAGACCTTGCCTTTCCCCACCTTCCATTTGAGGATGCCCCACAGATCCTCAATAGGGTTTAGGTCTCGAGACATGCTTAGCCAATCCATCCCCTTTACCTTCACCTTCTTTAGCAAGGCAGTGGTAATCTTGGAGGTGTGTTTGGGGTTGTTATCATTTTGTAAATACTGTCCTGCGGCCCAGTCTTCGAAGGGAGGGGATCATGCTCTGCTTCAGTATGTCACAGTACATGTTTGCATTCATGGTTCCCTCAATGAACTGAAGCTCCCCAGTGCTGGTAGCACTCATGCAGGCCCAGACCAT